ATGAGGGTGGTGACTTTGATGTTAGCTCCAGCAGGCCAGTACATCTCCCTGTGGACCCTCTTCTAAGAATGTACGAGACTTGAGGCCTCCCAGAAAGGCTGGCCTCCAAGGAAGATAAACACAAAAGGAGCTTCTACCACCGGCATCTTAGGCCTTGTCTCTTCACTACCTCAGGTCCTGATCTCAGCTGATGACGAAATGGAGGAGTCTGAGGCCGAGGAGGATCTCCGCAGACTGACCCCCCTCAAACCTGTGAAGAAGAAGAAGCACCGCTTTGGGCTACCTGTATGACACATTCCCACGCTGCGGATGACAGTCATGGGGCCCAGTCCTGCAGCAGCATCCCTTCCCTCTCTCTACCCTCCTCTCTACCTCCACTCCTCTTGCTGTCTCTGCCCGCTCTCCGCCCGCCCCAGACTACTGTGACTGAAAAGAGGGAAGAGGAACCGTGCCCGAGGGGGCTGTGGGCAGCTGGAGGTCCCGCTCAGTTGCACTACAAACACTGACCAAATATGCAAGCGAAGAGCTGTGTTTGTTGTCGTCCCTTTGGGGTGCTGTGAGACCCCTGTCCTGTGTCTGACCCGGTGGCATGGTGGAAGAAAACAGAGCACACACACACAGACTGCCGGGCCCTCGTGCCGAGGCTTGGGCCTTGTGGACATGTGACGGCTTGGGGTTAGCAGCCGTTGGTTGACCCAAGTTGGAATAGGAATGCTTTCTTACTCAAAAGGCTTTTGTAACTCTTTATTTCTAAAGCCAATTTTATGAGCTGTGACAGTGTTACTGTTTTTTGAGTATGTGTTTATTTCCTACAAAGTATCTATGGGTCTAATGGGCAAACAGATTTTTAAGTCTTCCGTATGCTGTTTGACTTTTATATTTTTAAGTTATATTTTCATACTACTGTATTTAAAACACTTTTTACTCCCCAAAGAAATGGATTTCTTTGCCTTTCATGGGGTATGAGCTGGTTGGGAGGCGGGTAAAAGTCCGTAGTTTTTCAGCCGGGGTGTTGTTAGGTAACATGTGATGACGAGATGAAGGATCTAAGGGAAGGGTAGACAACCTTTATCTGTGGTCAGAAATCCAGTGTGCTGAGGTCAGACCTGAGCTGTTCCAAAGGGATCTGTGTGCTCCCGTGTGTGGGGAACAGAGCCCTGCCAGGGCGTACAAGCTGGCGTGTCAGGGGCTTTGGTTAAACTTGATTAAGGAGGGAGCTCAGGAGTTAGACATTTGTGTCTGGAGGACTCAGGACCACCAGGCCACTCCTCCCTCAGAGCCTCCCAGGCGCAGACGTGAGAATGGCACCAGCCTCTGCCTCCAGTGCAGCAGCTTGCAGAGCCAACCTTTGCCTTGGTGCCTGTCACCAGCTGTCACCTGCTTGCTTGCTCAGCTGTCTGGGGAACTCTACCTAGCCAGAAAAGCCTGTTGTCATGTCTTCTAAAGTTATGAAGTAGCAGGGGCAGAGCAGATACCACCAGAGCTATTGTCTTACTGTGGAGAGAGTATGAGTTATTTCTAGACTGTGGCTCCTCCTTGGCGGTTACACCCACTTCTCAGCCGGGCCACAGTTTATCTGGTGGTACAGGCTGACTTGGCACTCTTCTGTAGAAGCAGCCAAGTGGAGCTGTCTGGTGGCTTGTCAGCCCAACAGGCAGGCACCTCACTACTTCATGGTGTGGCGATCACAGAGGAGGAGACTCCTCAGACTCTTGTAAACCTACGTAAGAATGTGTTTTGCTTAAGCATGTAGGATCTAAATATGCTTGTGGCGTGTGACCCAAGCCCTTATACCTAGGGCCATCCTCTGCCACTTGAAGTCTTACTTTCCTAGACAAAGGGTATCTAAGGTGCCTCTCTCAGCTCATCTTCTAGTGCAAGCACCACTGAGAAAGGAGAGGTTGCTGTTGGAGGCTTTACAACATTGGCCTGTGAAATGGATTGGTCAGGCCCTGCACTGTTCCTATTTCCTTTCCATCCTATAACCACGGTCACTTCCTTCCCCTTCTCTAGGAAGGTTCCACAGAGTGCTGTGGGTAGAGTACAGCTCGAACTCCTGACAAGGTAGATGGTCAATTCCTGGCGGCGCTGCTGATGTTATCCTCACACCCCCTGTATCACTGTGCTAGAGATAACCTGTGCTGCCCCGACCCCTGCCATCCTTCCAGAGCTCAGGGCTGGAACCTCATTATCAGACTTGAGCAACTCAGGTTTGCAGACCAGCCAGAGGCAAGGGAACTGCTGCAAAGGATGGGAATTCTAGTTGTACAGGCCTCGCAGAGGTAATCTGTAAGGTCCTTGCAAGTACAGGGCCTGAGGGACAGAAGAGTAGAGTGAATAGGTACTTGTGTGTCCTGACTTTCACTAAGGGCTCTAGTCTGTGAGCTGAAACTCTGCAGCTGACCCAGCAGGAAAGGAGGTCCAACAGGGATCTGATACCGGCCCCTGTCTGTGTGCAGGTTTGGTGTGTCTTTGCTCCTCCCCTCTTCCAGTGTGAATGTGTGCACGCACACATCAGCATAAACAGACACTCACACAGTTCTGCATCCCTCAGGAGAGCCTCCCGGGTCACTAAGGCCTTCTTGTTACCATGGTGCACTGCCTCACCAGAGTGGATGTAGAGGGCTGTGGTCAAGACGTCTTCTGAGCTGTCCTCCCTCCCTGGAATGAGTGTGCCCATCACTTGTTCCAAGGTGCCTTATGAGGTGGGACCCTTCGCTGGCTAATGACAGGCATCACCAAGCTAGGAGAAATAAAAATGGAGTACTCTCTTAGCTATGGTGCGCCATCAGTCTGTTTCATCCAAATTGGTACCCTTGCCAAGTGCTCTTGGTGGAAGCTTGCAAGCCAAGGCCTGAATGAGTTTTTGTAACCAACTGAAATAAACCAGTGAGAGAGAGCCGGCACCCAACTCAGAGATGGTGGTTAATTTTTTTCTTCATTCCATTTGGCTGTTGGTAGGACTTTGATAAAGGTAAGGATGAATGGTGAGATCCTGTGTGATGGTGTCTGTGTGCCGGAAGATGTGTCAGAGAGGAGCCTGTGGTCCCTTGGCCCTGAAGCATGTTGGTAGCTTCCTGCCTCAAACTTTAAACTGTGAACTACCAGGCAACAAGGAGCTGTGTATTCACATCCCTTCTCGTGCCTCTTTCAAGTTGTACCTTCCCTTTGGCAGCGCAGGCTACAGCCCAGGGTCCACATCTGAAAGGTGCCCTGGTCTATGGCCATACCACCCTGAAAATGCCCGGTCTCATCTGAAAGGTGCCCCAAGACCCTTCCTGCCAGGCAGCCACCACTTTGTAGAATGTGAGCTAGCTAGCGGTTCTCAACCTTCTTAATGCTGCAACCCTTTAATGCAGTTCCTCATGTTGTGGTGACCCCCCCCCCCAACCATTAGAATTATTTTTGTTGCTACTTCATAACTGCAATACTGCTACTGTTATGAATTGCAATGTAAAGATCTGTGTTTTCAGATGGTCTTAGGTGACCCATGGGAAGGGTCACACGACCCCCAGGTTGAGTATCACTATCTTAAATGAAGTTTCACAGCTTCCAGTGAGAGGCTTGTTTGCAGTGAGGGACCTGTGGTCAGCCTTGCTTTGAACAGCCTGAGTTCTGAGTGGGTAAGTGGATTGGTTGGTTGGTTGGTTGCCTGGCTTGGTTCTTAACTTTTCTTCCCATAGTATTTATTAGAGGTCAGAGCTGTAAGAAGAAAACCATTGCCACCTCAGCCGCCTGTCCTGTGGGGTGTGTCATCACTGGTGTTGGGAGTCACAGAAACACGTGTCTCAGATGGAAGGGAAGATGGTGGACTTGTAAACTGGTCTACAATAAAATGTCACATCGCATTACATTAAAAAGAAGAAGAAAGAAAGAAACCATCATTTTTGTGGTCCTTGGTGTTGTATCCTCTAGAACTGAAATACCTCACTGGGCTAATAAACCTTTTACTGTATCATGGCAGCTATGGGGTCAAATCTGCAAGGAAAGAAGCCAAACATAATCTTTCTTCCCTCCTGATGAGTGTCTTAGCCAGTTTGCCTCCTAGTGCTGTGTTTGGGGCCGGGAGAGAGGTGAACATCCCATATCTTTGTCTTTGAGGCCAGGACTAGACAGAGCTAGCTGTGGGCATTTCTCACAGGGCAGGGCCTGGCCTCTCTTTGGAGTCACTGGCATTGCTCAGATCAACACTTACCCAACCTAGACCTGGTAGTGCCCACATTGACCTGCCGGGAACCAGGGCCAGAACAGAGGCACAACAGCCATGGAGTGATGTTTAGGATAACTGTATGTTAGTCCCTGGTTGGATGTCATCTGCCTGGAGCCATCAGGGATAAGAATAATGTCCATGGTAGATTGGAGGGAACTGAGATAGGTCTAACAGACCGACCTCTGACCCATATCTACCATTGCCCGCCTCAGGTTTGGGTCCCTCATGTGCCCAAGGTGATCTTTCCATGCAAAATGAGGCTGTCAGGAATACTAAACAGCTCTCCAGGGAGCCTTGCCCGTTTCCTTACAACTTAGTAGCTGAACCTTACAACCCAAAGTAGCAGTGCTTCAGCTGTCCAGTTCCCATCTTAGGCAGAAGCCCTCTCTAGACCTTCTTCAGCAAGCATGGTTTTCTCCTGGTCCCTCCTGAGCACATATCCTGTCTTGCCTTGTCCTTTGCTAAACTTGTCCCACAAGTAGAGTCCCATGCGTAGAGGACCATGGCATCAGCAGCTCCCCAGAATCTCCTCAGCCTCAGTGTCTCTGCTGTGAACCAGAGGTTGCTGTGATTCAGCTATGCTCACCATGAGGAAACACTTCCAAGTGACCGGAAGCTTCTGCCCTGCCAGTGCACCGAGATGGAAAATCTCTTTCCACTGGATTCCAGGGGTAGAAGAGAAAGATAAACAAGCTTAAATATCCACCCTGGGCCCTCCCTTTCCTCAGAGATTTCCCCTCCCACCCCTGGCACTGGGATGGGTTCTTGCAGTCAGCCTGCCCAGACTGTCACACACATTCCAGGGTTCACATTCATAAACACAGCCTGGACTTGGTGCCAGCACCTCCCACCTGCAAGAGAGCAGCTGTTCCCAAAGGCACGGGGTACCCCCAGCTGTCTATTTTTCGCCAGGACTGCTGCCCATCATCTCCGAGAATAAACACCAGCTAGTAGCTGCATGGATCTGAATCATGTGGGAGCTTCCAAAGGAGGGGAGTGACTGCCCAGGACACACAAGCAGGCTATATAAGTTCCAGAAGGTTGGACTTCACACAGATCTCTTCCTGTGGCTACTCCCTGCCAGAGACTTACCTACAGAGAACTTACTTGGCATCTACCATGTCTGAGGTAAGAAGAACCTAGTTGCGGCTAGCTGGTGCCAAGGAAGTTGGGAGGGGCAAGACTGAACCCTAATTGCTGGTGTCAGCTTCGGACTAAAAGCCAAGCCTAACAAGAGGCCCTGCAGCCATGGGGCCCTGGGGCCCTGGGAGGCTGGACTCAGTGAGGACACCCTGGTCCCACCAGGCTCTAGTGAATGGCTTTGGTTGTCCCACAACTTGTGAGGTGTTGGGGGTGGGGAGAACTTAGGTAGACCTGTGTGTGCTTTTGAGTGTGTACGGGGGAGCTGGCTTCGATAGCTTAGTGCGTCCAGTTGTATATATTCGTTACCTGGAGGAAGAGTGTGCCTATAGGTCACAGCTGTGTCCTTCTGTTTCCCTAGCAGGGTGTGTCTCTGGGCAGGCTTGTGTTTTCCTGGGAGCCTTGCCCAGGCAGAGGGAGGGAAGCCCTGCACCTGCCTGCAGGGCTTAAGAAGAACTAAGGCCTCAACCTCACAGGCGCCTGGGGTTGACAAGGAGGGGTTAGCAGAATCTGACTTTCCTGGCTCTCCTGGGACAGACAGAATAGCAAGGTTATGCTTGCTGCTTGCTCCATGACTGTCTACCCTGTCCCCCTTCCAAACACAATAATTGAAAATGCCAGTGTTTTCAATTTGGGGAAAGGGTAGGGGGCAGTCCTTATGGGACGCTTTGCTACCCAGTGAACAGAGCATAGAACTCACCCGATTTCCTAGGGCTGCTCAGTCTTGAAGGCCCTGTGCCCCTTGTGCCCAGTCCTGAATTTGGCAAACAGGCCAGTATGAGGCTGCAGTGGCCACCCCTCCAGGAGCTCTCTATGGGCCAAGGTCAGATGTCCAAGTCAGACCAAGAGGACAGGAGGACTTGTAGGGGTTGGGAGAAGAGTAGGCTTTGAATTGAGTTTGGTGATCTGGGAAGATGATCTCCTGCCAAAGTTGAGGGGTTCATCTCAAGGCCTCTAATTGCAAGGCTCTCTGGGCTTTCCAAGGTTGGCACTGCTGAAGCCCCCATCAAGAAGAAGCGTCCCCCTGTGAAGGAAGAAGACCTGAAGGGGGCTCGCGGGAACCTGGCCAAGAACCAAGAGATCAAGTCTAAGACATACCAGGTCATGCGGGACTGTGGTGAGTGTGCTGCAGGCCCTTGCTAGGGCTGGGGACATCAGCATCTCCCAGTGGTAGCTGAGCGGTATTGAGGGCTACTGGGTATAAGAAGGGCTGCACCCAGCATAAGGAGCCTTGTTCCTGAGAAAACCAGTTTAGGTCCCTGCTTCCACTCTTCTGCTCTTACTCACAGAGCAAGCTGGCTCAGCTGCCCCGTCGGTATTCAGCCGCAACCGCACAGGCACCGAGACAGTCTTCGAGAAGCCCAAAGAAGGACCTACCAAGAGCGTCTTTGGCTGATAAGTTCACACTTCGCCACTCCAAACACCTGGACACAGGAGCCTTTCCCACGAGCTATCTGTCTGTCTATCTATCTATCTATCTATCTATCTATCATCTATCTATCTTTTTTTTTTTTTTTTTTTTTTTGGTTTTTCGAGACAGGGTTTCTCTGTGGCTTTGGAGCCTGTCCTGGAGCTAGCTCGGTAGACCAGGCTGGTCTCGAACTCACAGAGATCCGCCTGCCTCTGCCTCCCGAGTGCTGGGATTAAAGGCGTGCGCCACCATCGCCCGGCTTATCTATCTTTTTTATAATGCTGGAAGATGCCTTTTCCCTGCTGTCTCCAGAACCACCATGACTCCCACAGCCCTGGAAACACCAATAAAGAGGGTACCTGAGTGGCTTCAACCTTGGGAAGGCGTCAGTTGGTCAGTGGCTGTGGCCACTAACTGCCAAGGGAGAGGGGGAGCTGTGGGGATGTAACACATTCAGTGCCCTTCCTGGGCTCTGGGAAGGATGGGGATAATGTGTATGCTTTCAGGGCCTCTGGGATGTACTGAAAAGAACCTTAGAGGTGGGGACATGGGGCAGACCTGATGACTAGACCTCTCTGCTCTCCTTGGTGTTTTTGTTTTGTTTTTTCAAGACAAGGTTTCTCTGTGTAGACTAGGCTGGCCTTGACCTCACAGATCCACCTGCCTCTGTTTCCTGAGTGCTGAGATTAAAGGTGTGAGTTACCACGCCTGGCTTCTGTTCTCCTTTCTAATCCTCCGTTTCTGGGCTGGAAAGATGGCTCCACAGCTAAGAGTACTTGATGTGTCTGCGAGGACCCTAGTTCAATTCCTAATATCCACATGGTGGCTCACAACCATTTAACTCTGTCACCTTCTTCTGGCCTCTGTGGACATCGCATACATGTGGTACACCTGCCGTCAAAATCGTCATATACCTAAAATAAAAATACAATTTAAAACTAGCCTCTTGTTTCCCATCAACAGAATAGTTGAGTTGATGCCTGTCCCGGAAAGCAGGGCACAGTGGTACCTCTCAGAGTGAAGTCCCTCTGTCTGCCACAGAAGCCTCTGAGATGTTGCTAAGGTCCTCACCGCCTATCCCCTTTCCCCTTTGTTAGTCTGCTGCTTCACTGTGTCCCCATCTCAAAGACAAAACTAGGTATGGTTCCTCTGGCCAGAGGCAGTGAGTTTCTTGGACTCCCTAACCATACTCTGCTGCCCGTATGTTGTCTGGGTGGGGTGTGACCTCTTCAGACCTGGGTCCTGTGCCTGTTGTGTCGTCACATTGAGGAGACAGCCTGCCCGCTGGGATGGCGAGACCACAGGCACGCTAATGGTGGCGCCTTCTGAGAGCAGGCCTGGCTTGTGGATGATCCTGCTGGAAAGCCCCTCATGTGCCCTGGGCAGCTTTCTTGGGGCATTCTCACACCCTAGCCAGCCTGGCCTTATATAGCTCTGGCTCCTGGCTGGGTCTGTGCTCTGTGTCCCGGAGGAGCAGATCTTCTGTGGGGACAGAATCTGTACTTGTTCATTGAACCACTGAAGAACATTATTCCAGAACCTGTGTCCCCTGTTTAACCCCAGTCCCATCCAGAGCCAAGAGGGTGAGCAGGTACACAGAAGTGTGGCCTCGGGCCACAGCCTTGCAAAGGAAAGGAAGGTTTTAATGGAAGCAACAGAAATTGTTCCTAGGGCCAGACACCACCAGCCTTGAGCTAAACTGCAGAGGTAATAAAACAGCACACCAGCAGCCAGCCGCCCTTCTGGCCACCCTTTCGTGTCTGACATACCAGTGGCCAGCCACCCTTTCGTGTCTTACACACCAGCAGCTGGCCGCCCTTTCGTGTCTGACACACCAGCTGCCGGCTGCCCTTTCGTGTCCATAGGCCCAGGAGTGGCTTTTCCACCACCGAAGGAAATCTGTACCAGCCTCACCAAGTACCCACTGTCTGCTCACTTCATCACTATTGGTTAATAAAACAAAGCAAATAGTACTTCAGCTTTATAAAGGGCTTTTCAAGAAAAGCCACTAGTAGCACAGTGTATAAGAAACTCTTTCATGATCCTGGTGTAACAGAATCAGACCACCTACTCTACCTGCATACAACCTTCAGGAACCCTGTGCAACCTCCTGTGTGTCCCGCCTTTCTGCAGACTCCAACATTACAGCTCTAGGCTCAGGGTATGCATCTTGACAACTCACGGGTGTGTCAAATTGCAGACCTGCTTGGGGGTCTGCTTGGCTTGAACCTAAAGTCCCATTGCAGTAATAGGACCCAAACAGCAGCCTTGAACCAGAGAGAGAGCAGAGGCTCCTGGGCCCAGCTCTTTTGCTCCAAAAAGTGCCCATCCTTGTTGGCATCCTCAGACACCTCTAGTGCTCCAGATGTCTCAGGGACCCCCAGGCATGCCTACCTGGCTAGGAAGGCCCTGTCTCTTCCAGGAAGCCACCTGGGGTATCCTTCCAACCCTAGTCTCCCTAGTGAGGCCTCTATTTCCTCCCAGGCTAGACTCATGAAGAAGAGACTGGCCTCATTGTTGGGTGTCTCTGGCCCTACAAAGCTTGGTGGATGACCTAGTGAGTTTGTGATTCCTGGAAATGTGGACCCTGCAGAAGGGTAGCTAATACCCAGCTCCAACCTGAGCCTGCCTTTCCTCAGGGTATGTCCTGCTGTCATCCAAGTTCACTGGACATAGGTCATTTGTCTCCTTATCTGAGGCCTCTGGGATTTTTGGCTTGGAAATCCCATTTCCCAGAACTTGCGCCGGTAGGGGCAGGACACCCAGCAAGTTACCAGTTTATAACCCACCTGCTCTCAGGTTCAGAAACAGCCTGGCAGGCAACTGAAGGCCAATGAAGAGCTCGGCCCCTGCCCACATGTGGTGCAGCATCATACTGCTCCTGCCCTCGCTGCTGGCCGGGCTTCAGACCACCACTGCCAGGAAGGTAGCAGTATCCATAGTTGCCACTGTGTGTACTGGTGTATGTGTGTGGTGGGAGCTGGGGAAGAGCAAACACACCTGGGAAGTGCCTCGGGGTATGTGTGTGCAGGTCCATGTGTGTGCAAAGACATGGCCCTGCCCAGAGATCCTTGCAGACTCCTTCACTTCAAAAAAGGAGTGATCCCATTCTTGCCACTTTATAGATGGAGACCTGCTTAGGCGATGGCCCCTTGAGGCTGACAGCGGAGCCAAGGAGGTCAGAATGTGACTGTATGAGCCCAGCTCTTCTGTTCCAGATGAGTGGCTTCTGGGAATTATTTATATGTTCTGTCTATCAGTTTCCTCGTCCGAAAGGGAGTAATAATATAACCGACTCAGGCCTGTGCTGGTTGAAAATCAACCTCGTAATACCTAGGAAGCGTACAGTACCACACCTAGGCCGAGCTGACATCTAAGCTGTAAACAAGGCATGCTGTCCCTCTGTGTTAAACTGGGCAGGTGGGCATGAGAGTGTGAACAGTCCGTGTGTGTGTGCAGCATGGCACACAGAGCAGGCAGGGGAGCGAGCACAGGGCTGTGCGTGTGTGCAGCATGGTACACAGAGCAGGCAGGGGAGCGAGCACAGGGCTGTGCGTGTGTGCAGCATGGCACACAGAGCAGGCAGGGGAGCGAGCACAGGGCTGTGCGTGTGTGCATATTCTTAAGGGGTTACCAGCCTCAGTGCAAAAGGTGTGTGGTGGAGTAGCCCTGTGGAGGGTCGGGAGAGAGGATGTGCTGCAGGTGGAACGGGCCAAGAGGATTGTCACCCCTCTACCGTTTCTCACAGCTCCCGTGATTGTCTGACGGGGGTGGAGCAGGAGCGTTTTTCCGTTTTCACAGAGCTCAGCATTTCCAAAAATCGAAGAACTTGTTCACTGTCCTTTTATTTACCAGGCAGAGCTCAGCCTGGACCCAAGGTCCCTGACTCCAGGCCTCTGTCTCTGCCTAAATGTGATCCTGCCAGGCTTGGCCCCTCACCCTGGGGACTCTCTCTGGAGGCCTGTTCCATGGTGCTGCCTTGTTGGGAGTGAGGTCCACAGTGGCCTCTGACCTCAGACAATATTCCCATGTGAACCTTTTGACGGGATTCAGCCTGGGCCTAGTCCGTATCTGTGTCAGAGGAAGGGAGGAGTTTGGCCTGGGAACAGAGCCTTCCCTTCAAGAGTTGGGGGTGTCAGTTAAACAACACAGCCCTTTCCCCTCCCTGGTCCAGAATGGCATCGACATCTACAGCCTCACAGTGGACTCCCAGGTGTCCTCCCGGTTCGCCCACACCGTTGTTACCAGCCGGGTGGTCAACAGAGCCGACGCTGCTCAGGAAGCCACCTTCCAATTAGAGCTACCCAGGAAAGCCTTCATCACCAACTTCTCCATGTAGGTGTCTTCCTGCTTCTTCCAACCCGCAGCTCAGCTCTGCAACTCCATCTCCTCTGAGCCTGAGACACGTGACTTGGGACACTCTTGCCCTGTCCGCCTCACAGGGAACAAGGATGTATGTCTGTCCCTCCCGTGGTCCGGCCTCCTCACTAAGTACTTCTATGTGGTAGAGCACGAACCACAGCATCTGGAGTCTTTGCCTTTGAGGAGTACAAACCTAAGGCAACTCTAGGCCAGAGGTAGACTCAGAAAGTCACCGAAATCATATTCCAGCTGAGAAGATATTAGCCCTAACTCCTGGGGTCCCTCTTTGTCACTGCAGAGGGCAGGCATGGCTACTGTTTCCTCAGGAGATGCCAAGGTTTCTGTGGACTCTGAGCTGGCAGGAGGCCCTCTGACTTCATTCACACCCCCATCCTGGTCTGTTTTGCAATGTTTATTAAACTTGGGGAAAATCCATGTTTGCGAGGCAAGCATTGAAGGGGGGTTGCTCCCAGTAGGGGAAGCGCTTAGGGGTGGAGGCCAACAAGAGCACTGGCTAGCGTGGGTGTTTCTGGAAAACTGCAGGGGTGGGGCTAGGTTCCCATTGGTTCGCTCCTCCCTTTCTCCCCACCCACCTCCACTCCAGGACAGTTTGTTTCCTGACTCTGGAGCCTAGGTCAGTGGGTCCCCAGATCTTTCCACTGCATGAGATGGAGAAGTGCGGGGCAGGTTTCCCTGCCCCCTGCTCTGGCCAGGAGCCTT